TTTCTTCATGTTTCGTTCTTTAAAAAATGGTCAGCAGCTTGTTTATCTTAAAAATATAAAATCTTTTGCTAATTCTTTTTAACCCCCCACCCCCCCCATGTTGGTTGGATTTAGAATCGGTCTGCTCCTTTCTGACTCCAGATTATTTAGGGATTGATTTTTTTCATGCTTACAGTGCACTGTATCAATCCTCAGTAACTCAACCTGCAGCTAATATTTACTTCATTATATCATTTACAGGAGATGGAACGTAGCCCTTCTGACTTTATATTACTTATCTAACTAAGGATTGCTGGATGGAGTCTATAGCTCATAAACTGGAACTTCAAGCTTACCCTTCATATTGAAGATGGAGGAAAAGGTTGAATATATACTGTTCAATATTCATCCTCTTTTAACTTTGGTTGAATCAGTAGAGTAAGTTGGAGGAGAAATTGGGGCATGCATTATGCCGTGACAGTTAAAATATTACTTGTGAGAGTATGGAGGAAGAAAAAGGATGAAGCCTGAGAGAGTGTCTTGTAAGTATGATTGACTGAATCAATGCAGGCATGATGTGGACATGAGCTGAGCAAGATTTACTGAGGTCTTAAGATTTGAATTGCAGCAGTCCTTGCCATTCCAGCTTGGGCCTCTTTCCTAAGCAGACACTTCCAGTTGTGTCAAACTGTATGATTGTTTTGTGATATGGATAAATGTATGCTAGGGACCAAATTAAGGACACTAAACTCAATTTTCTTAAGACATGTGCCAGATTTTTGTATTGCAGCTGTCCAGAGGTGAAAGGCTAATGAGGACATAAGGAATTCCTGGACGGGAAAGGGACACTTGGCCCAACAAGCCTGTCCCCCTTCAAGTTTATTACAACACACCTCCTGGTGTTGTCAATATATCCTCTAACCCTGTCTGCCTATATAAACATGTCTGGCTATCTCTTAAATTCATTAATAGTTTGGTTCACTCTGTGGTTTTATTTGACATAATGCCTACTATGCTATGAATCACACAGTTCTTCATGAATTTGCTGTTTTTCTTAGATTCCTAATTTTAATTGGCATACTCTGGTCCCTGATTTTTTTTTAACTCATCAGTGTCAACGTTGTTATCTTCTTAGTGCCATTTCTTCAGTCACTGTCTTAACTGTGAACATGTTCATATTGTCTCCTTTAAAAGTTTCCAGTATTAGGCTCTGTTTTCACAGGAAAACGTGATGATTGCCTGATATCTTACCATTATTTGGATTACTGAAGTTCTTCTGTAAAAAGCGGTGAAACTGGAGTGCTGGAGATCTCCCATGTCACTTGTGCAGTGACAATGTCTGCTTTTTTGACTGACATTCTGTTCCTCTGCTGACGTTTTTATACCACACTTTATTGACACAGTTTGACACTGCCTCAGCAATTGATGTTTAGCAGAGGACATGCCATTTTTGAGGTAGAATAAAACCTTCAGAACCCAGATTAACTTAAAGTAAGAACCTTCAAGGATCTGGAAATGCCTTTGAAAGCCAACTGGGGAAAGGCTCTCTCCACTCGGGTTTACAACAGTCTAATAAAAGTCTAGCTCCGAGAACAGGGCTGTATGAATTTACAACCGGTCCCTCATTTATAATAAAAAGGGACTATATCTCTTTAAAATTTGTGCTAATAAACTGAAGAAGTAATTAGCATACAGATGCATCCCTCTGACAGCAGACTTTTAAAAAAACTGATATTTCTTCTTTGCAGCTGTGTGAGGCAACCCAAAGAGGAATGAAGTTAAAAGTTTGAAGAACATCAAGAGGAGAAAAAAAAAAAACCTGAGCTGCAAATAAATATGCAGTGTTGAGATTTCTTACGACTACCAGTTAACAAAACCAGAAAGACTATGTCTGGTGAGATATGCATGCGAAGCAGAGAAAGTAGATTGCCACATTACGAGATGGAGAAAAGGTTCCAAGTTTTCAGTGTCCAAAAGTGTGTTGAAATCCAGAAAATCATTATGCTTATAATTGTTTGTGAAACCGCTCTGTGCCATTTGTATAGGAGAGAAATGCACTCAAATAATAAAAAAGGTTTAAATTTGGGGAATAAAAGGAGACAAAATTTAATGGAAACTGTTTAAGAGAGGAAAGTCAGCATCCAGATGGGAAACAGTGAGGCCTTATTCAGCACCTAAAGTGATGGCGTAGGTTGTACCGGGAACTGTGAGAGACAGAGCCAGACACACAGGGAAGGAAAAAACCTGTTAACTAGTATCAGCCAGTTGAGAGAGCAGAATTTAGACTAAGGACAATTCATGGGTATGCATTGACTTTAGATGGCTTGATCCAGTGTATAATGTAAGTCTGCAAGGTGTAGAAGATTTCCAGCTCAAATTGGGGCTCTACAGTTAGTGAGAGAGAAACCAGCAAAATACGCCTAAAAGAACGGACTTGAACCTTCGGGTTTGGTTTTGGTAGATTTATTCAGACATCAGGCTCTAGGAACAGGGGAAGTAAAAGACATTTTCTGTGGCATTTGTTGACAAAACTGTAAATACCTATAGTTTAAATCCTTAGATTTTAGTGAGAGTTTGCAGTCATGGTCTAAATGTGAGGTTTCTTCTGGGAACTGGTAAAAGCAAAACAATGTTAAGTTTGTGTAGTGGTAACCACTGTGCTGTATTGGAGCCCTTCACTGTTGTGCTGCTTCCTGTGTTAATATAAGGAAATGATTGATAAAAATATGCATAAGAAAAAGCGAGTTCTCATAGCTTTGACTAATACTTATGAAGGCAAATCCTGATCTTGCTCTTGGAAGACGGTCCACTGAAATCGGTGTAGTACATATTCAGCAAGACCAACAAACTTTGATCCATAGTTTAAACAAGCTATTTGAAGCAGCTGGGAGAGAACCTGGATTTGAAAGTGGAAAAACTATCTATGTTCAAGGCCAACTCTTAACTGATGCAAAATTTAATTTAAATTTGAAGGCTGAGAGCACACAACACGCCCTTAATGAAACCAAGCAAACTTCAGTGCAGTTACCCTGAGCAACAAAGCAATCATTAAAGAATTTGAGTGAAATAAAATAGTCAACGGTCCAGATGCTGGTCTTCATTATACTGGTGGAAAGCTAAAGGAGGTCCATTCAGACCCGGGCAGTTGCTCCAGATTTATACAGGAATTATTTCTATCAGAAACTGGAACAAATATCCGGGTTCCTGCTTGGGAGGCTGGACTTCATATCTGGACGTTCTGAAGTTTCAGGTCACTGAAGTTGAGACATTGGAGGGTTGACGAGGAATATTCTGAAAAGCTTATAAATGACTTTGACCAGAATCACGAAGACGTTTTAGGTATCTAGGGCTAATCTACAAAGAGAGCTTTGAATCAGCATTGCGGCACCTAACTTGTAGGTGCTGAGCTGCCTCCTGGAATCTACAGCCTTGAGTTAGGTCCTAGGCTCCTCAGACAATATATAAAGAGGGTCAGGTTCCTAAGATGACTTCTTCACTAGCACGTTTTGCTTGAATACTATGTCAGTTAAGAGTGTGAAAAAGATACTTCTCCCTCAAGCTGCTGTGTCTATGTCAGCAAGACCTCTGTTATAGGAACACCTAAGGTGTTAGAAGAGTACTTTTGTTGGCTTAGCTTATATCATTTGGAGAAGAAATGTAGCTGTGCTGGAAGAAAGAGGACTCCTGCCATGATATGCCTCATCTCTGCTAGGGGGCTCTGCTGGTATAGCTATAGGAACAGACTATAATATAAATGTATCCTAAGAATGGGATCTACAAAAGCCAGCAGGAGCTGGTAAGTTAGATGATGGCAAACACTAAGAAGGTTGTGCCTTTAGCCCTGGCACTTTTTAAGACTTGGGCACTTTACCGTGGGAAACCAGGAAACATTTATCTCCAACTGGAGTTCATGAAGCTTCTCCTTAAGTTAGGTGTTTATACAGTCTTTTCTTATAGAAAGAGGGGAGGGAGGAGAGTGGACACACCACTTCCCTTCCCTTCAAGTTAGTCACTTGCTTAGTAATGAAAGCACTCACTAGGTCCTGGGAGACCCAAATTACATTTCATCTTTGACCTTAGGAGATTTGAGCCTGTGTTTCCCAACTTGCAAGAGTTGGATGGAATCTAATTTAAAATAAGAAGTTACATCTGATGCTTTATTTCTGGCTTCAAGACTTCTGTTTGTATGAAGATATTCTGTACAGGTTATTGTGTGTTGTGACAAACTGGTTGATAGTTTAGAAATTGCATGAACTACTGAAAATGATTAGCATATTTATCTGACCACTATCTAACAATAATGTATGGGGTGTGGAGGGGGGAAGAAATAAAATATGGTGAGGAGTTCACATGGTCTGAAATATTCTAACTCGTGTGTGTGTATGTGTCTATTCACTCACACACATACTCTTTAAAATACAAGAAAAGCTATATGGACATGTGCAGATGTTACACTTCGATTGACCTAACTAAGGTTAGGACTTAATTAGGGTTAGGTCAATCTAAGTGTTGAACTGTACACATTTGGGGAGTTTAGATCGGGTGAAAAATGGCTGGCCTAATCTAATTTACTTCACCTAAGGAGGTGCATTATGTAGACTGGATTAACCCGTGCCTAACCAAGTGTGTACACATTTGGAGCACAGCTCTGGGACTGTGCTTTTTCTAGCTCCCTCCCTCCCTCATCCCTGATCCCCCCCCCCACCCCTGAATGGACAACTCCCCTATCCTCCCCACACACCCACCAACCCTGCACCCCTTCCCCACCGACCCAGTAGCCCCCCCCACCCCCCAGTCCTTCCTGCCTCTCACCCGACCCTGACTTACAGTGCATTCCTGGCAAGGGTCCTGGCACTGATGAATGTGTGCACAATTGGGGACCAGATCTACAATCGTAGATTGGGTCCCATGAATTTATGTACATGTGCCCTATGGGTCTGCATTGGATCTTGCTTGCTTATCTGAAACATACCTTATCACACTTTCACTACAACTTTGCATTCTTGGTATAGTGTTTGTTTCATGTTTCACATGTCTAGCCTGGTCTATAACCTTTTAAATTTGGAGGTGAGTTTAGACTTTTATGATCTCTTTTTCAGTTCTTAACATCATCTGAATCAATTCAATAAAGGATAATTTCTCGTCTTTTCTGTTCCTCTTTTCCTTTCTGTTCTCTTAATTTGGTTTTCCATACCTCTCTTTTTCCTCCCATTTGTGTGTGGGCCTTTGTCTTCTGTTTATACCTCTCCCCTCTCTTGCTCACATTTGTTTTCTCAACACTTGTTGATCACACATGAGATCAGTTTTTGTCACTGTCCTCACCGTGGAGGAAAATGTTTGCTTTATCAGGTCCATGCTGTAGCACAGCAGCATGATCCCGTTGATGCTGATGATGCATTTTGACAGTGTTTGGGATCTTGCCTTTATAATGCATGTTAAGCAGTAGTTGCTGGCACCTCTGTTATTTTCGTGTCAGCATATTTGGTATCTTACCTTTGATATTCTGCTTTAACTGCTTTGCAAAGACTAGAAACAAGACAGGTCTCTAACCTGGCCAGAGCAGTATCTTGCTTTGAGTGGTAATCTTAGTCATTTGGTGATTGCTGTTTTGAGACAGTTATCAGTTCATTAAACTTTGTTATCCTTTGCATGGTGGCCCTGTACCTTGCTGGTAATCTTCAGCGTAGGATTTCATCAAATGCTCTTTTGAAAATCTAAGCATATTGTATATCATCCATAGCATTTTCCTTGTCTACCTTGGCAGGCACAGCTTTGAAGAATTCCAACGAATTATTTGAGCAAGACTTCCTGCTCATAAATCCACATTGGCTGACTCTACCCAAATTAGGCTTTTCAATCTGTTTCCTCACTAAATCCTATAAAACTGTTTCTATCATTTTCTTCACGTCTGTGAATTATGCTATAATCATTTGTTTATATTCTAGCCCTTTTAAAAATATATGTTATATACAGCCAGATTTTTTAAATTATAGTTGAGTATATTAGACTTTCAAACTGTATATATTAAAAATAGACAATTTAAAGCACAGTTAGGGAGATGGATCCTCACTTAGAGTAACCTGGTGTAACTTTATGGACTTCTGTGGAACTAAATTACTGTACATTGGCCAAGCACCTGGCTCATTTGGTATTGTGCGTTCTGCGTTCTAGTCCCCAGAAATCAAAGCTGTTGTCAGACTACTTCTAAAACTATTTAAGGCCTCACTAATGTCTACTCCTATTTCTTATCAGAAGTTTCAGAATTATCCTTTAGCTCAGTGTTGTTGGAATAACCCTTTAGGAGGTTGAATGTGAAGTTATTTCCTTTCCAAGTTTCTGTCCGCATTCCAACACAGTGATTTGCAGTGGATTGTTCTGCCATCCTGACAGACCAGGCAATGTCTACTATTGCTAATGTTAGCTTTGTCTGATGACGGCTGGACTGGGAATATATTTTCTGGTTTGGTGAGTCAGGCAGGGTTAGAGCTTGCTGGAGAAGCTTCTGTGTTCCTGCAAAAAATGTCACATTTTTGGCTAAAAAACAGTTAAAACTTAATTTTTTCTTTGGCCCTAAAAATAATGGGAAAAAGACAAAGACCAAAAAAAAAAAATCTAGTTTGAAAATGGTAGCATGCCCACTTTGCCCAGGTAGACCTGTAGTTTGGGTAAGACCTGGGGTCTTTAGGACAGACCAGTGATTGGCAACCTTTTGCCACTATGGACTGTTGCCTGCGAGCCAGTCCTTACTGTGGGCTATACCCCTGCATCTCCCCAGCAGTCAGCTGTGAAGGGAACAGATGGAAAAGGGCAGGTGCTAGGACACTGGGCATGCTTCCTGGGATGTCTTCTCTGCTGCAACAGAGATTAAAAACTGAAAGCGTCAGGCAGTAGGACCCTGGGGTTGCTGCTGTGGTTGGAGCAGGCTGCCAATTCCCTGAGCTGCTGTGGGATAGATGTCAGTGGTGTAACTGGGATGGGGTGAGCAGGACATACACTTTGGGTGCTGACCTGGGAAAAAGATGGCTGCCAATGCAGCTGAAAAATCATGCTTGTGGCACAGTGGCAACCAGAAATTGCTTCTGCCCCTCGGTCACTGCCCCAGGTGCCCGGCTGTGTTGTTATGCCTCTGCCCGATCCAGTCCCTTTATGAATTGGATCCAGCCCATGGGCTGCAGGTTGCTGACCCCTGGGCTAGACTCTCTACATCCCCACTTCCTGCTACTATGTTGCATCGTAAGTGCATTAGTTTATCTCAAGAACCCAGTCCGCAGAGGAGAATGAGGCTTGAGGGAGCCAGGTAGCTATTGCAAATAATTTGTTGCTGTTTTCAGTGGAAAAGTAAAATCTCTCTCTTTCGTTTCAGATATTTAGGTCAAAATTACCTGGTGTTTTACAAGAACTTTTTGCGAGGAAACATTTATTTGAAAATTCTTGCAAAAATTGTGCAGACTTTGGAGGACCACCATAGCCAACCGGTGTTTTTTATTTACCAAACTTTAAAGCAGAGTATGGTAATGTGAGCACGGCTTCTTTGCAACATTCTGTTTAGTTAAAAGTGATTTATTTGTATGGAAAAACAGTTTTGATGGAAAGTTTTTGACTAGCTATTCTGAATAAGTGTTACTTTCCCAAACTCTGCTAATTTCCGATAGCTAGAAGAGATGGCATTCACAACAGATGGCACATATTAGAAGATACGTTTATTGTCAAAAAAGAAATAGAACCATTTAAAGAATCAGAACTGGGCTTCAAAGTTAACATCCCTTTTTTAAAGAGGTTCATTTAACACATCTCAGAGTTATATCAGGCTTTCTCCGTGTTCAGGTAGACACTCTGTTGTGTGTGACCTTTGAAATATGATCTGAAGGTATCTTCACAGACATAACAGCTAGAGATTTAGGCCGGGATCACATGGGGACCTGGGCATTTAGCCACCATAGTAGAATCCACAGACTAGAGTCAGACACTTAGGATATTAGGTTGCTGTAAAATTAATGGGGAGAATTGCCCACCTCAGAATGAAATCTTTATCTACCAGAATGATGAGTGGGGAGCCACCTAAACTCGCCCATAGCATAGCCTTCATCAGTGCTATGGCAGGCACCTACCTCTAGTGGGATTCATAGACCTCAGCCCTCTTCTGAAGGTAGATGCTTAAGTTTCTGAAATAGAGGGAACAAACGGTAGCAGGACTCTTAGCGCTTAAGGCAGTTGCCAGCCCTGGGTTACTTTCCTGCACTTGGGGCTGTTCCTGTGTATTTTTCATTGTACGGTCACTGGAGAAAAGACAAGGGTGTTTCAGAAACTAATGGCTGCTTATGCTGTATGTCTGTGACAAAGTGGGGAAACTACACAACAG